TTGGTAGCCCAGGCTGGCCTCGAACTCACAGCGATCCGCCTGCCTCTGCCTCCCGAGTGCTGGGATTAAAGGCGTGCGCCACCACCGCCCGGCTTGGCTCCTTTTTAAACAGTTCAAATTTTTCTTTTTTTTTTTCATTTTTCACTTTTTCAAATTAATCAATTTATCCACCTTTCTATTATCAGCTCGATACAGTATGTATTCCCATTTTAATTGTGAAATGTTTCATTAAGGCTTGCTCAGTAATTGAGTAAAACCAAAACTTATTAAAAGCCACAGTCATCCTAGGGTCCTCCATATATATAGTTTCCATGGTTTTGTGGGTGGTAGTCTGATTGTTCTTTATTTTATATCTAGAATCCACTTATGAGTGAGTACATGCCATGTTTGTCCTTCTGGGTTTGGGTTACCTCACTCAGGATGATTTTTTCTAGTTCCATCCATTTGCCTGCAAATTTCATGCTTTCATTGTTTTTCTCTGCTGAGTAGTACTCCATTGTGTATATGTACCACATTTTCTTAATCCATTCTTCAGTTGACGGACATCTAGGTTGTTTCCAGGTTCTGGCTATTACAAATAGTGCTGCTATGAACATAGCTTAGCATGTATCTTTGTGGTATGAATCAGCGTTCCTTGGGTATATGCCCAAGAGTGGGATGGCTGGGTCTTGAGGTAGTTAGATTCCTAATTTTCTGAGAAACTGCCATACTGATTTCCATAGTGCTTGTATAAGCTTGCATTCCTACCAACAGTGGAGGAGTGTTCCCTTTGCTCCACATCCTCTCCAACATTGACTGTCATTAGTTTTTTTGATCATAGCCATTCTGACAGGTATAAGGTGGTATCTCAGAGTCATTTTAATTTGCATTTCTCTGATAATTAAGGATGTTGAGCATTTCTTTAAATGTCTTTCAGCCATTTGTGATTCTTGTTTTGTGAATTCTCTGTTTAGCTCTTTAGCCCATTTTTCAATTGGATTGTTCAGTATTTTGATGTCTAGTTTCTTGAGTTCTTTATGTACTTTGGAGATCAATCCTCTGTCAGATGTGGGGTTGGTGAAGATCTTTTCCCATTCTGTAAGCTGTCTTTTTGCCCTGCAAAAGCTTCTCAGTTTCAAGAGGTCCCATTTATTAATTGTTGTACTCAGGGTCTGTGCTGTTGGTGTTATATTTAGGAAGTGGTCTCCAGTGCCAATGTGTTCAAGAGTACTTCCTACTTTCTCTTCTATTAAGTTTAGTGTAATTGGATTTATGTTGAGGTCTTTTATCCACTTGGACTTGCGTTTTGTGCATGGTGATCGATATGGATCTATTTGTAATCTTTTACATATTGACATTCAGTTATGCCAGCACCATATGTTGAAGATACTTTCTTTTTTCCATTGTATAGTTTTGGTTTCTTTGTCAAAAATCAGGTGTTCATATGTGCATAAATTAATGTCAGGGTCTTCAATTTGATTCCATTGGTCTGTATGTCAGTTTTTATACCAGTACCAAGCTGTTTTTGTTACTATAGCTCTGCCAGCTTTTCTTAAGTTATCCCATCCACCTTTCGCCTCTGGGCTTTTCCTTTCCTTACTTCTGTATATCTTACTTTCACTCTTACTCTGTGGCTGGCTGTGTGGCTGTGTGGCTGGCCCCTGGCATCCTCCTCTCCTTGTTCTCTTGCTCCTTCTTATTTTCCTCTCAGATTTCTCCTTCTATTTATTCTCTCTGCCTGCCAGCCCCACCTATCCTTTTTCCTGCTTCACTATTGGTCGTTCAGCTCTTTATTAGATTAATCAGGTGTTTCAGGCAGGCAAAGTAACACAGCTTCACACAGTTAAACAAATGCAACATAGAAGAATACAACACATCTTTGCATCATTAAACAAATGTTCCACAGCATAAACAAATGTAACACATCTTAAAATAATATTCCACAACAAGGAGAAAGAGGAGGAGAAGGAGGAGGAGGAAGCAGTTTTGTGATGACACTTGTCCTCTCTGATGCTAGCCGCATAGGATGAGGCACCAGGGCCACCAGAAATTAGTCTCTAGTTTTTTTTGTACAAGGCATCACAATTCGCTGGGCCAGGCTCCAAGCTGTTGGAGAATGGCGGGTGTGCTTTTTATTTTATTTTTACCTCCCCCCACCCTGCTTTTTTTTTTTTGGTCCCTACAGGGAGGAGAATAAAAAAATTGTTTGAAAAATACTGTATTAAAAACTAACCAGAAAAATGTAAAAATTACCAATACTTATGTTCTTATGTATTAGAATAACAGAACTTTATTTTTTATGTTATATATTTATGATATCAATAAAGTTATGGATTAATTGGCTCCTGCAGCTCAGTCTCTTCTCTCTCTCTTTCTTTGAGACAGGGTTTCACTGTATAGCCCTGGCTGTCCTGGATCTCACTCTGTAGCCCAGGCTGTCCTCACGGAGATCCGCCTGCCTCTGCCTCCCAAGTGCTGGGATTAAAGGCGTGCCCCACCACTGCTGGCTCTGCGCTTTTCTGTTAGTCCTCACAGTGTTCATCTTTGGGTGTAGTGGGCTGGTGCTTTCATTGACCTGGCACTTTTCTTTTTGGCTTCCTTTTTTTCTGATCATTTTTTCTTCACTCATTTTCATGAAGCTCTTTCTTGGCTGTTAATATGCTTAATGTGCCCAATTAATTCTCTTGTCAAGAATCTTATCCTTAACTTGCTTGTTTGCAACAGCGCCAACAGCATGTGGGAGACATTGTAGAGTCCAGTTTTGCCATGGTAACATAGATGCAACATTCCTTACTGAACAGTACTCACTTCCTTCTAATAGTCACATACAAACAACTCCACATTTTCTAAAAGGCTAAGAGAACACATGTCGTGTTCTTCTCCTCTTTCCTTCTGTATTGTCACTTTGGTAACTCCTGGAAGATGGCCATTCTGGCTGGAAAGCCCTTACACTTTCTTGCTCATCTCCAACTGCAACTTAGTACTCACTGATCTTCCCCACCCCTTCCTTTCTCTTGTTACCATGAAGTATCTTCCCTACCCCTTCCTTTCTCTTGCTACCTTCAGTAGCTACCACTCTGCTCTCAGCCTCTACGCCTCACCGTCACGAGAGCCCACATGTGAACGCATCAAGTCGTACTTGCCACTTTGTGCCTGGGCTGTTTCACTCTAACACAATGATTTTGGATTCCATTTGTGTTATTGAAATTGGAGGAGTTTCGTTTTTTATTTAAAAAAAGTAAATTTTTTTTTTGAGAGGGTCTCACGAGGCAACCTCAAATGGTTTAGAACTTTTTATATAGACCAGGCTGACCTCCAACTCACAGAGCTCCACTTGCCTTCTGAGTGCTGGGATTAAAGGCATGTATCACCATGTCTGGCTTAGATTTTATTTTTATAAAGCCAATAGAATGTAGTCTTGTGCTTCTCTATGTTGATGTATTTCATTTTTACTAGAAGGGAAAGATTTGCTCACCAACATATCTCAGTTTCAGAATTAGAGTCCTAGGTGAAACTACCTATTGTCTCACTGTGTCCCGAGAGGAAGATTCCTTAATGGGGTACACTTGGAAGTCTTCTGGAATTTATGCGGATTTTTCCATAGCTCCTCTCTTCCCTTAACTCTAGACCATCTGCTAGAGTTAATACGTAAAGAAGCAAATATACTAAATTCCAGGTGAATCCCCAGGGTTGGAAAAAGAATGCCCTTCAGGGGAAAGGAGGAAGCCTCTGAGACCACCTGGGGAGGGAAGGGGGAGCAGTGGTTACAACAGTCCCTGGGAGGAAGCGGGTACTTAAACGTCTCAGCAAAGTCCTAGGAAACAAGTCTCCGGAGTCTCCGGAAGTGAAGTGAACCCACATATGGATCAATTCCCCTTTGTGAGTTTTCCTCACAGAGCCATCGAGGAGATGATGCCTGATGCTGAGGTGAGGTTCCATGGTACCTATTCCTTTCTCCAGGCTCATCTAGGAAAGCTAGTCTGCATGTAAGAGAAATGGATGGATGGTTCTGTGACATTATAGGGTACCTTTTACTTAATAAATTTAATTACTCAGGGTTTCTCAGGAACAACTTAAAGGCGATGGGGAGGAACAGCTTAGTGTAAAAGTTCCAAACGTGGATCAAGCATACACCGTTAATCCCGACATGCAAGTAGCAGAATCAGGTTGCTCCCTGTGAAGGAGAGGCCGGTTTGGGTAGGAAGTTCTGGGCCAGAAATGATACATAGTGAGATCCTGTCTCAAAAGCAACCAACCAGACAAAACCCCCAAACTTTCATGTGTGAATACAGGGCGAATATTCACTGGGTGAAAAATTCTGAACCGTCTCTGAGTCACAGCTGTAAAATAAACAGCGAGTACAGGCAGAAACACTGTCCCCCCACCCCCACCGCCCGACGTATGTTATTGTCGTGATTGTTAGAGCATCATTCATAAACAATCTCTTTTTCCAGGAGTCATCCAGTGATATATCCCTTTCTTCAGGCTACCTGGAGAGACAGTGTGCTGAGTGAGCATCCTGGGAAGAAGGACATTTAGTCAAGCTATCACACCCGCACTGGTAGGTTTAGTAGTTGGTTGATTAGCTCCTTGTACTGAAACAGAACATACAAAGAAGTTGATTCCTTAGGATTATAGATGAAAACTTGCTTTACAAATTCCAAATGCGTGAGCAACAGTATAAAGTGGCAGGAAAGACAAGTTACAGTGTGCTGTCAGTGTATAGGGGATGTGTCCTTGCTCTTATTCACATTACATAGGTGTGAGCTGTTTCTTAGAACAAAATCAGGAAACTACAGGAGGCAGAGGCAGGCGAATCTCTGTGAGTTTGAGGCCAGCCTGGTCTACAAAGCAAGTTCCAGGACAGCCAGGACTGTTTCAAGAAACCCTGTCTCAAAAAACCAAACCAAACCAAACAAACAGCCCCTCCCCGCAAAAAATCAGGAAACTCAGATCTCATGATTTTAGTTTCTTCTTTAAAAATATTTAAGTCCTTCATCTGTCATCTGTAGGTTGGAAAGGGATTGGTTTATGTTTTACAAACAAATACCTGGAATTCACTTACTGAATTCCTTCAAGGAAGCCGTTAAAGCATATCTTCTGAATTCACCACTGATTAGGAAGCTGGGCATTGAAGCTTGGATGCTAAACCTTTTCATGCTTCCTCAAAAATCATGAACAAGGACTGGAGAGATGGCTCAGTGGAGCACTCAGGGAGGAGCACTGGCTGCTCTTCCAGAGGACCTGGTCTGAGTTCCAGCATCCACAAAGCAGCTCATGATTGTCCTAGGGATCCAATGCCCTCTCCTGGCCTCCCCCAGCCCCAGGCACACAGGTGGTGCACAACACACATGCAGGCAAAATGCCCATATGCATAAAATGTAATAATAATAATAAAACAACCACAAATAAGAGACTAGAAGTAGTGTAGCCCAAATCTTTGTTCTCAGGGATCACAAACGATCCTTCCTTTAAATCTTGTGCTCTTTGCTACCTTGCAAACTTCCTTCTCTTCCATTCCTGGTGACCCCCATTATCCAAAACAGGAGATCCAAAATTAACAAAAATCTCAATATATGAACTATTAGTTTTGTTAAGATTTTTTTTTGAAAAAGATGTATTTTAGTTATTTTTAAAATTCTGTGTATGTGGCAAGGGGAGAGGGAGGTACCTGAGTGTCGGTGCCTGTGGAGGCCAGAGCCACCAGATACCTCTGGAACTAGAGTTACAGGTACTTGCGAGCTGCCCAGTTTGGGTGCTGAGAACTGAACTCACTTTCTCTGCAAGAGCAATATGTTCTCCTAACCATTGTGTGTCTCTCAAGGCCCCTGAAGACTTTTCAACAGATCATTTTAAGTATTAACTTGTTGCAATGCTCCTACTGTTTAAAAATACAGTTGTACATTTTATTTATTCAATTAATAAACACATTCTTTTTTTGCAATAAACGCACAACTTACTGTCCAAATACTTGAAAATGGCTCCTCTCTTTTCCCCAACAAAATTAATTCCACAAGACAAAAAGGGAGAAAAAAGTCCCCTCTGTTTCATCTCAAATCTCTTTAGAAAATCGTCTTCTTTTTCTTCACTTTTTAAGTTTACCAAGAAGTGGCTGGAAAACACACTTCCTGCTCTTCCACAGGTCCCAGGTTTGACCTACCTCTGATGACTGTGGCCTCCCAGGGGACCTGCACAAACCTACATAGGATCATAAACATATACATAATTAGGAAAGAGAATAAATCTCAAAAGAAAAACAAAAAGAGAAGAATCTCATTTGTTTCATTTCACCCAGGTGGCATTGTAAGTAGGAAAAGATTATTTTTCAGTGTGCTGACTAGACCCTACAAAGGTGTAGGAAAGCATTAGTCCAGAGGGCAGTGATGGGTTCAGAAATGATAAAATAAATGTCTATAGCATGGAATAATAATTGGAATGAGGGACTCTCCATTTTTGAATAGTACTTTCATGTGAGGGTGAGTTTCTTTATATAGGCTCCAGGAATACAAATTGTTCTTTGTGAAGGAGGGCGGTGGAGGTTGGTCAGAGCTGCCATGCATATAATTTCCAGTTATATGGAACAATTATATGATCTTTGCTATGCAAATAAGTGATATGCAAATAAGGATAGTGCTGGCTGATCAAAGTTCAGTCATAGTCAAAGGCTCTGGGCTCCAAGCTTCAGCTATGTGGTGTCAAGTTTTTTCTGCATTCCACAGCCAACAGTTTGAGATTTCTGAATCATCCTTGTGAAAATACCGTAATGGAGACTAACTTGGCTCTCTGTGTGTTGAATAGAGGTTAGAGTAACAGCTGTAGTCATGAAGAGTTTCTTCTGATCCCAGAGGAGCAGAATTGGAAGTTTCTGGATTTATGGAATGGCATCTGTAGAAGGTTACATCAAGGGTTTGCGAGAAAGCAACACTTACCCCATGGAGGCTACAGGGAGGGAACAGAGATTGCGTGGTGAGCTGAAGGAGGTTTGAACAAATGGGACACATAGATGTGTAATGAAGATAGGGCACTGGTTTTAGAGTTTTGTGGATTGAAAGAAGAGAGATGGCTCAGTGGTTCAGGGCACTTGTTGCTTTAGCAGCAATTTATTCAATTGGTTCAATTTCCAGCACCCACACGGTGGTTCACAACCATCTGTAACTCCAGTTGCAGGGCATCCCCTTCTGACCTCTTCTGGCACCAGGCACATACATGATCCACATATGTACATGCAGGCAAAAGACTCACACATTAAAGAAAATAAATACATTCTAAGAAAAGAGAAAATTACTTGAGAGAGAGAGAGAGAGAGAGAGAGAGAGAGAGAGAGAGAGAGAGAGAACAGTTACAACCAAAGACAAAGTTTCATACACAGGTGGGCCATTCTGAAACAACCTTTCTCAGCTATTTAGAAATATAGGCAATTGTGCACACTTCAGGCTATAGTCTTAAGAGCATTGTCTTAAGAGACCCAGGACATAACCCTATCTAGTGTGTAAGTAAAGGTGGACCAGTCTAGAGGAATCTGGCAAAGCCAGGGTCAGAGCAGTTGGAGGCTAGGGCTTTTTTTGAGGAGTTAGAATTACCTCTATTTTTAAAAATTGCCAACCTGAAGTGGGCCAAAGACCTTAACTTAAAACTTACTGGGTGTACAACCACTCTTAAGGGCAGGACCCATCCATGTCCAGCAGTAGATGACCAACACAAAACAAACTCAATGGCATTTTTGGAGATTCTGTGTCTCATAATGCTTTGTCAGGGTATTTTTATTTGTTAAATTAATTAATTATTTATTTGTTTTGCCTTATATGTCCTTTGTGTATATATTATGTTTTCTGGGTTTATGGAGTTTCTATGTGTGTGAACATGTGTGTTTCTGAATCTATATGTGTTTCTTGTGCTTTTTCTTTGGCTATTTTTCTTCTGTTTGTTTTGCCCTATTACAGTCTGTTTGTTTTTGTTTTATATTTTTTATTTTATTATTTTTTAGATGCCTGTTTCTTTTGTAATGAGAATGAAGAAGAAAGGGTGTAGATTTGGGTGAGAGGGGAGGTGGGGAGGATCTGGGAGACATTGGAGGAGAGGAAACCATAATTAGAATATGCCGTGTGAAAAAAAATCTGTTCTTCAATAAAAGAAAAAAAAAATTCAGTACTCTGGAGAGGTGGAATGTTGTAGGTCCAGAGGCTAATTGCTCTACCTTGGGCTAAGTTCTGGTCTTCCAGAATGACCATTCCTTGTTCCCCCTGTGTTAGAACTAACACCCCGTGAAAATAACTTTTTAGAATCTATTGACTTAGTAAGCCACTAGCTTCTACCAATCCAAAAGCTAAGAATACCATCAGATAGCATCGTGGGTCTATAGGAAAGCTTCCTCCATCTCACTGTACATCAACCTCTCTGATGTACCCACCAACGTATTTTAAATTTGCCTTGATTTATGACTTTCTCTGTTCTGTAAAGCTATAAAAACATTGTAAAACTTCTTCTACACTGGAACATGAAATTTGGGATAACCTAAATTTGTGCTTCCAGGCCATGTTCTCTTGAAATGGCTCCAGAGTAAACTATCTCATTGCCTTAAAATAAAAACCCAAAACACTGAACCTACTAGAGGAAAGCATAGGGAAGACTCTTAAGGTATTGGGATAGACAAGAGCATTCTGAACAGAACTTTGGTAGCACAGGATCCAGCCCCAAGTACCAAGAGATGAGACTACATGGGGTTAAAATTTTCTGCATAGCAAAAGAAACCATCAGCAAAGCGTGGAAGAAATCTTTACATACAAATCTTCAGACAGATGGTTAATATACAGAATTTCAAAGAACTTCAGAAATTAAATACCAACAAAATAAAACTACCAATGAACAAATGGGCTTATGAAACAGGAAGTTTTCAAAAGAAGAAACACGAAAGACCAATAGCTATCATTTTAAAAAGTGTTCAGCATCCCTAGTCATCAGGAAAATGCAGATTAAAACTACTTTGAGATAGCACTTCACCACAGTAGGAATGTTATCACCAAGCTACCTGACAACAAATGTTGGAGAATATGTGGAGAAAGAGGAATGCCTATTCACTGCTGGTTTGAGTACAAATAAATATGGCAATTAAGGAAATCAGTCTGATGGTCCTTAAAAAATTGAAAATACAAACTACCCTATGACCCAGCTATTCCATTCCTGGGCATATACCCAGATAACTACATACCCGACAACAAAGATATTTGCACATCTATTTTATTTACAATATCAAGGAAATAGAACCAACTTAGATGCCACCAATAGTTAAATAGATAATGGAATTGTGGTACATATACAAAATAGATTATTATTCAGATATGAAGAAATATGAAATCATGAAATTTGCAGGGAAATGGATAGACTTAGGAAGTAT